GCTTAATTACCAACGCCAACCTTGAATCTGTCCGCGTTGCTGATGGATGATCCTCCCGCTATGGAGATTGGCAATAACGTCATGGGCATCCCCACCATTCAGCGTATCATGTCGGTGCACGACACGGCTTTGGCGATGGCCGGTACGGCTCACTTAGCTAGACTGAAGCATTATACCACCAAATTTTTGGGGTTCTTGCAGACTCGCTTGGAGCCGGACTGCGGCCTCCGCGTTCCCACCGTGCTTGAAGCGCAGCAGGCTGATCGTATCCTTTGGGGTAACATCTTCGGATTAGTTCTTGAAAAGGATTGGTCGGTTGACGACTCTATCTTCGAATACTCGGAAATCAGGGCCAAGATGGCTACGCTACTTCAGCCACGTGCCAAAGCAGTTTCTGTCCCTAAAGGATTGTCCCCCAAAGGCAGGGGCCTCGGCAAACCTTATGTTCCTGCCCCTCCAGGCAAACCCTCAGGTCGCGGCAAGGGCGGCAAGCCGAACGCCAAGGGGAAGGGTCAGGGCCCTCAGTGGATTAAGAACGTCACAGTCAATGGCTCCCCTAAGCAACTCTGCATGCGCTGGCAAAGCGGCCGCTGCCTGGCGGGCACATCCTGCCCATTCATCCACGCCTGCGCTTATCCCAAATCGGACGGATCCGCGTGCGTGTCCAAGGACCACAATGCTCTTGGTCATCAAGCCACCCCGCACTGATCCTGCTTCGACAGGTCCTGCCTTAGCCTTGCCCGCCCCCTGCTCAACCGCTGTCTGCAAGTGTCAGCAGCGCAACCCTTAGGGTTGTCCTTTATGGCCTCCCCAGGCCCTAGTCTAGACCTCGCCAACTCCTCATGCAACCCTCACTCCGCAGCAATCCCTGAGCAACTATCTTCCCAAGTCTTCTGTTTCAGTTCCCGTGCCGGGGACTTTGTCTGCAAATTCTGAGGGGCGCTCCCTCCACAGGCCGAGTCATCCGCTTGATGACTCTCTCAAGCCCGCGTCCGCTTCTGCGGCCGCTGTGTCCTTTGGGAGATGATGCGTGCCCCCGCCCGCGGGGGGGGGCCCTGCTGAGCCCGCTTGGCTCATGAGCAGGCGTGTTGCCTGCTTCATCCGTGAGCCCGCTTGGCTCATCAACAGGCGTGTTGCCTGTGTCGTCTGCGAGCCTGCGCTGGGTTCTTGAACGACATTCCACCGTCTCACTGCTTTTGGCGTAATGCCAATGATCCTCTGGACGATGTCCCTCTTTCCCTGCATTTCCAGAATTGGAGATCGGCCCATGTGGACGAATCAGTCACTTCTGCTCTCCTTCAAGAAGAAATAGATGCAGGCTTCTGCTACCAGTACCCTGGCAGCGTCGAGGACGCTCGGGCCGAATGGCCAACTGGCCTCGCGTTGGGGAAGCTTGGGGTCGTACGAGCTCGGGGTCGCAAGGAGCGCCTCGTTCTGGATAACTCCATTTGCGGCAGTAACGCTAACGCGTGGTCCCTGAACGCCAGCTCATGCCCTCCGTACGCGATGTCCTCTTCGGGGCCAGCCACAGCACCAGGCTGCCCTTTCTTTGGATATCAAGAGTGCCCATAAAAGGGTCGTTGTCAGGGCCTCCGAGAGAGGCTTGCTGGGCTTCACTTGGCAGGGCTCCATGTACTTCTACAAAGTGGCTCCATTCGGAGCCACATTCGCGCAACATTGGTGGGGGAGGCTAGGCTCCTGCCTCCTCAGGCTCCTTCACATACTCATTTGGGTGGCTCACTCTGGGCGTCTCTTCGTCGATGACTACCTGTTTACCCAGCAGCATGCCATGCTTCCCCACTTTGGCTCTATGATATGCCTGTTCTTGCAGATCATGGGGGTTCCTTTATCTTGGACAAAACTTCAGATTTCCTTTCAAGTTGATTGGATTGGCTGGTGCTTCTGCTTTAGTGCCGGTGTAGTCTCTCTTAAAGAAGAGAAACGCCTGCGGCTGCTCGGCATGGTGCAGTCTCTTCGCCGCTCGCCTCGCGCAACTCGTAAGGACTTGGAGCGCTTCATTGGCCTAGCCATGTGGGCGTGCAACCTATTTCCAGTCATGCGCTCCATGCTGCGCACGTTTTATCATGATCTCCACTCCCCCGCTGCAACCAATTACAGCATAGACCCGGCCACCTGGCCGTCGATCTCCAGGCATCTGGACGCCTCCCTGTACTTTCTTAGCAGGCCTCCCAATACTGCCATCCCTGTCGGAGGTAAGCTTCTTGCAGCTCGTCATCAGGAGCTTTCTTGCCTCGCCGACTGGCTAAGGTCCGCCTCACAGATCGTAGACTATGGCTACGTGTTTCACATTCCGCCAGCTCGCGCCGCGAGCTGTCCCAGCCCTCCATTAGGGCTCTAGCTATAGCCGGGCACTGGCTCACCTTTGCGTTTCCCAGGCGTACCATGCGTGCGCCTCCTCCTCTCCCTTTCGAGGCACGTGCGGATGCCAGTGCTCGCGGTGCTTCCGCCACCGTTGGGGGTTACGTTTGCTTCCCTGCCTTGGGCCAGTTGTGGTTTAGCGAAGTTGTTAACAGGATTTTCAGGACTTGGGGGTGTCAGTTTCCTCGGATATGGCCAGCGAAATCTCATGCTGTGAAGCCCTCGCACAAGGTGGGCTGATAATTGCGGCTTCGTCTCTCCTTCCATCATGTGCTGTGCCCATCTTGTTGCCCTCTGCTTCGGATAACACCAGGGCAGAGGCGGCTCTGAATGCCTGCTTTACAACAAGCTTGCCCCTTGCCCTCTTTCTCGAACGTCTCACGCTCCTTGCCGCCGTTCACAGATGCACCTTGGATGTCTCGCACATCTCCGGGGAGCGCAACACCAAGGCCGATGCCCTCTCCCGGCCAGATGAGCATCCTTTGCCAGACGATTGTCCTTCCCAGCGCCTGCGGCTGGACTTGCGTGCCCTCTGGCTTCCAAAGCCTCACATAGCTGTCTTCCCTGCATCTGCCTCCTTGCGTTGGCCTCTGCCTAATGTGCACACAAACGCCGGCCAAGTTCATTCATCGGGCTGAGGTGGTCGTCCGCCATTTGTGTGGCGCAAGCAAGATTGGGCCACACGGGTCGCTCCACACAAATGTCTGACTCAGGGACAGCTGGATTGGCTTTGGATCCATCGGAAAAATGAAAGTCCGCTACTGCGCTTCGGATTTTATATGTTTTCATTCAGATTGATAAATTTGGATGAATACATTTTATATTGTGAGCAAGCATAGCTATTTGGGATAGAACGTTTAGTGAACTTGTTCATCTATGTTTTAGCCCAAAAGTTTGTTGCCAATTTCTCACTTGTGTCCATGCGGGATTTTTGGCTCACAGTTATGCTTGCTCACAATCAAAAATTCACCCCACCCTCCTCTCCCTAAGTTGGGGTCTAGTCCTCGCACCCTGATTCAGGATTCTTGTCTTGCTCAGATTTGCTGCAACAGCCTGTTTGGCCTCACTTCACCGCATCGGGGATGCCTTCCGTAGCCATTTTGGCTCAAGGCAACCTTGTTGCTCAAGCTGTGGTGCGTGGGCCCACACTTGAAACTTTTGGTCCCAGGCTCGCGAGCTAAGGTAGTTTCGTGCAAGGCGGAGGGGGTGTGTTGCCCGCCGGATGGTCAGAGCGCTGGCCCGTCATGGACAGGCTGCTCTTGAGCGCAGCGTTACTTTGTTGCCTGCCACTCCTGTTGCTCTCAGCTTCCGAGTGCAGTTTCTTTTGTGTGCGGTTGCCTTCGTGAGTGGCGCTGCCAGTGTGATCCTCTGGGCCTTGCTCTGATTTTTGTTTGTGCATGCAGCCCGAAGGCGAGCCTGAAAGTTCTCAAGGGAGTCCTACGGAAAGCTCCTTCATTAGCAGCCAGTCTGAAATTTCCCGCCACCTCTTTAGTGTGCAAAACCAGGTCCGTGACCTGCAGCGCACCGCAGGACATCATCAACGAACCCTTGACGACCTGGAGGTCCAGGGATCCAATCATAGCAACGCCCTTCTAGCTGGGCTCTGCACCTTGGTTTTGCTTCTGCAGCTGGTGCATCTCTTGTCAGACTTGTGCCAGTCCTTGCCTCAGCTTCATTCCTCTTGAGTGGGGGTTTTTGGCCATGAAGCGTAGACAGGACGAGCTGTTCGAACGCCATTTGCGTGAGTCAACGTATGAACAGCATTTGGGGTATATTTGGAAGCAGGCTAAGAGCAGGTATGTACAGCCTTGGGATAGGTCACCTGTCCTCAACCCGTGTGCTGCCTTCCCTAGCCTACCCCCCCATTACAGGTTTAATGCTGCCTCAGGTTCATCAGCTTTGCCGCCTCAGGTCCCAGCGCCTGGGTCCAGCATGCCTCCCAAGTTGGATGCGAAAGGTTTCGTTCCCCCTTTGGCAAAGGATGCAGGCAAACCTTGGGAGGCCAAGTTGACCGAGAATAGGCTGGCTGCCTTGATCAAGTGGGAGCGAGTCTTAAGCTCCCATAAAGAGCATTTCGGGTTAATGGACAAGGTTGCAGGAGATTCTGGCACGTCGACAAGCCTTCAGATTGTGC